ATCTAAAAAATGCCCAACTTTGGCTTGGTGTGGTCTCGCCAAGCCTGGGCGTGACCACTTCCTTAACTACCTCGGCATGGTCACATCAAGCCCAGGCGTTACCGCACCCGAAAGTTTCTTAGCGTGGTCAAGCAAATTGGCTTCACATGTCAGCAATCTGTGGCTCCACGGATCAGGCCACGAGTCATTGTGCCCTTTCACCAGTGGTGATCCATGGCTCTTCAATCATCGGGCTGATCGTCACGATCGGCTTGCCACCTCATCATACGGCTCCGGAGGGCTCTTCCATGGCCTTCTGAGCCTATAGATTAGCAGCTTTCGGGAGAGCATCCATGCAGTGATGAATCCGAACTCTCAAACTTTAAGCACAAAGAGCATAGAAGGTATTTTGGCGAACTTCTTCCTCCTTCTCCGGTTAGCCTCCTCTCCTCTCAGTAAGTACTTCCTCCCTCTTTTTAATTTAAGCATTTTTTAATTAAAATACTTAAGTTGATTAAGTTGATTCTGGGTTAAGATAATCAACTCAAAGGCCTTAGATCAGGCTTGGGTTTAGGTTTGACTCATGTCGACCTGAAACTGACTTAACTCAAAATTGTTGGGCTAAACCCAATTCTAGACCTAACCCAACCTAGTTCTAGCCTAAACTCCAATCCCAGACCTAACCCAACCTATGTATAGACTAAACTTAGCCAATCCTAAACCAAACATAGCCCAGGTCTGGCCCAAGACGAACCTAACATAACTTAGGTCTGACCCAAAACCCAACCTAACCAAAGTCTGACCCGAAACTAACTTAACCCAGGTCTAACCCAACCTGGACGAACCAAACCTCGCCCAAGTCTGACCCAACCCAAACCCAAGCCAAATTAAATCTCAAACCCAATTTAAATATAAGCTAACCCGGGTCAAACCCAAACCCAACCTGAGTCAAGTCAGCTTAACATAGGTCAAACTGAATTCAAATCTAAGTTAACCCGGGTCAACTCAACTTAACTCGGGTCAAACCCAAACCCAACCCGAGACAACCCAGCTTAACCCGACTCTAACCTAATTCAAATATAAGATAACCCGGGTCAACCTAACTTAACCCAAGTTAACCCAACTTAACCCAGGTCATACCCAATTCAAATCTAAGCTAATCTAGGTCAACCCAACTTAATTAAGATCAAAACCAAATTAAACCCAACTCAATATGGGTCAACCTAGCTTAACTCGGGTCAATTTATGTCAAACTCAGCTTAATCTCTGAAAATATATATCCAATCCAGAGTCAAGCTAGCTAACCCATGTCATACCTTAACTCAATTCTGAGCCAACCTAAGCTGGAAGATTTAGCTTACCTTAATCTTAACCCAAGTATAACCCAAAGCTAAAAATACATGTTATTTTCATGTTATCTCACGTTCTATATATTATCTCATGTATCGAACAAAAAAATTAATGTAAATGCTAAACTTCAAATGAACATCTAAAACACAACAAGATAAAGAATGAAAACTGAGCCTAGGCAAATCCGACATCAACTTTAGGCTAGCTAACTTAGACACCAAACCAAGGGCAACACACTTACCCGAAGATAATACGAGCATAAAAGCCTGATTTAGTTCACGTACCTAGTTAGTGTTAATGATTAGGACATGCTAAACAACTTACCCACTCACTGAAACCAGAGGGAACACCTTAGAATGAATAACTCATGGTTACTAACGAATGTGTTTTAGACTGCTTCGAAACTACGAATCATCCACGCTCTGACATTTAAGAGGTATTATCGGTTATGAGACTGGTCATAATTAATGTATACCAACATTCCCAAATGACAGAAAGTTATGGGCATATTGATCGGGGACGTTATTCTCAAAATTTAAGTTAGTCCACTTTCCTATCCGACACTATCCTTAGTATAGGGTTTTGAATTGTCATCCTTCAGTCAAATCCTATATTCATCATTTATCTTTTGACCTGATCCGATCAGTTCTAGTTTACCGTCAATTCCTTCAATCGGTACTCTTAAAAAACAAATCTCTCGCCTTGGTCATTTCTTATGACGTGTCTTCATCGGAATGTAAGTCCCATCATGTGAACTTAATTTCCTAAAATCATGAAAGTTCGATTTCCGACAGCTTGACTGATTGCATCAATTGAGAGGTTTTCTTTAGGACCCACGGTTTTAAAGATGTAATTAACTGTAAGAACTTACCCTTATAGAAACATGACTTCATAATTAATATAAACCTTGATCTTATATCTATAAGGTAATGGAAGAATGTTGGTTCCGTATACCCTAAAGATATCTCTCATCCAAATGATTGAATCAATTATAAAGATAACGTCTCTATCTTTTGAGATTGTATGTTATTTTTCAAATGCCGCATTTGATCATTTAGATAGAAATCATGTGAGATCTATTGTGATACTTCAAATAAACCCCACAAGGAGTCTTTTCTTAATTTTTGACGTCGACCTAATTGTACAATTATGTAAATGAAGGAACATTTATGGGAATCACCCTAAATGCAATTAATGCTATAATTTAATATCAAATCTGCCTTACAATTTAAGTGAAGTACAACGACTATAAATTGATTGACGAGTTTGTTTCAATAAGTCGAGATGATTGGTCGCATGAAGGTTGCTTCCGTGGAGGGAAAACAATCGGTCGATTAGTTTTGACCTACTGACCCAATGAGAAACTCATGGAGTTGAGATCGTAAGCATGGTTCGCCGACTAGACCTGTGGACATCTTATGTCGGTATACTCAACCGAGTAGCCGGTCGTCATATGGGCTGATTTAGATTATGCTTTATGGTTCAAGACTTCAATTGTATGATCATCATCTCAACTGTTCCATTAATTTGAGATTTGTGCTGTCATTTTTCTTGCATACATATATAATATTTAAAATTATACAATTCAAATTTTTAAGGCTTAAATATAAAAAAATATATATCAATGATTTCTTTATAAAATTTAAATGCATATCACACAATATATTTACGACTAAATCACTTAAATTTGATATTAAATTAATTTTTTTCCCTCCAAAAAACTAGATGACACGACGCTATC